TTCTTTATGCATTTCTTTGAATAATAGTGAAATTGAAGTATTGAATGACTATTTGTGTTTCTTCTTCTGTGGATATTTTTGATATCCCTAACATTTTGTTTGTTGGAATTGTGATAGTGAGGTTATTTATTTTAAAAAGCGTCACTTTATTTAATAATGTTTTTAATCTTCATTTGTCTTGCTCTTTGTAAATATCTTGCTAGGTCTTTAACATTTTTTTTTAATTAATAAACTCCATTTTATAGAGCAGCTTTAGGTTCACAGCAAAATTGAGCAGAAAGTACAGTTCCCATATGCCCATGCAATCTCCCTCACTATCTACATCTACTTTTTTTTAAGGTTTTTGCTATAGGACACATGTAATCTCCAGAAAGAGAAAGGGAGGGAGAAAGTGAGAAATCACCTCCCCCCAGGGGATTGGTCATGCTGCAATCTCTTCTCTATTCTTCCCACAGGATTTTGGCCAAGTGCCAGACATGTCAAGCTGCTAGGTCCCTGACGTGAACCATGGTTGACCACATGGAAGTCCAGTGTCTTATCTGCCATGCCACCTGCTGACCCCTCTTCGTCTACATTTTATTACAAAATTTTTCAAAATCAAAATGACAAAAAAAGACCATTGTGAAATTCAGAAAATATGGAAAAGGTTGAATAACAAAAAGACCATGAATCTGTTTGTGTGTGTGTGAAGTTTTTTGCCATAGGGCTCATGCATTGGCCAGAGAGAGAGAGAGAGAGAGAGTCGGTGAGAAGTAAAGTGAGAAATCACCCCCCCCAGGGTGGGAGGGATGGCCACACTGAAATCTCTTCTCCTCCTCTCTCCTCCTGGAATTTTGGGAATGGACACACATGCACCTGGTATGCTTTTGGAGCCACCAGGTCTGAGACTTGAACCATAGTAGAACATGTGGGAATCCAGCACCTTAACCACCATGCCACCTGTTGGCCCTGGTCATGAATCCTTTTAAGGTTGATTTAAGTGTCCACCCACTGTTCAGTATTGCCTCTCATTCTTTTTCTTTTTTCTCTTTTTTTAATCTCTTACATTTTTTTAATGTCATATATTGATGTGAGTACCTATATATTAAGTAGAATTTAGTACAGTGTGTAAGCAAAACAACACATTAACAGCCTTGGAAAGATTCATAGCCTTCAGACTGTGGTTATTTCTCATTCTACCACTCAGAAATAACAAATACTAATATTTGCAATACATGCGATAATTTGTATTTATAAAATTGAATCATGTTACACATGCTGATTTTTAATGTCTTCCCTTTCTTACCAATATGTCATAGTTTCAGGTTAATAAATAATACTAGTAAATAATCAAACTATCCGATTATTTTGATATCTCATTTTGTAGGTAATAGAACCTGTTGCTAGATTTTTGGGTAAGTGTCTAGAGACTGGGTTGCAGAGCATGATTGTGTCTGAATATCCTCATATAAAAACACGATTTTTTTCAATCGTGCATTTTTATATGAAAAAGTTTATATTTTTATTTTATAAAATCTATTTTGTCTTTGTGATTTTTCTTATGAAATTTACCTTTGTGCTTGGAAAGTAACTGAGAATAGATAAGTGTTCTTCTGTGTTTTTTCCTAATTTGGTTTAAAGGCTTTTTTTTTTTGTAATTTATTTCGATGGTATGGCATTTTAGGATATACTGATCTTAGAGGGAATAATAAATTAAAAATTTATTAAAACTATCTCTAAACTTTTTATATTATTCATGATTTTAAAAGAAGAAACATAAGTAATTATTAACTAATTCAGACTATCTTGTTGGGGCCAGGAAATAGCCCAGTGGTATTACGACTGGACCTATATGAGAAAAGTCCTGGGTTCATCTACTGGAACCTCCCTGAACATGCTGGGCACGCACGTATGTGCCCATGATCTGAGCTGGCTAGCCCTTGATTGTAGTGTAGAGACCCTGTTGGCATGCCTGTCTCTTTGTCTGTCTCTGAAATTAATTAATACATTACTTCAGAAATAGGCAAGTTCTTAGTAGGAAGAGCAAATAGAGATCGAGCACTTGATCTGAGCCCGAAAATGAAATAATTCGTGCTGTCACATACAACCTCATAAGAAAATGAGGCATAGAGAAACATTCAAAATAATTATAAGCTCGTGTATGCATAAAGGCTAAAGATAGCTTCACAGAATGTGCTGACATATTGAGAACTGCAAGGTATTAACCAGGGCAAGCTTCCTCTGGGCTGACGCTTGAACCAGGATGAACACAAAAGGAGGAATGAAGTGCACTAAAAGTGAGAGATCGCTCCATACACGTGAGCAGCTGGGTATGAACGATTTGTAAAGTATGATGTCCCTCACCAAATCAATCTTCTTTTCCTGACCAGAATATCTTGTCTAATATAGGAATCCTTACTTTGGAATAAATTACTTTTTAATCAGGAGTATCAGTTAAACTTTAGAAAAGTTTATCATTAAACTGGAAATTATTTCTATTATAATATACTAGAGTGTTAGCTTTAAATTCTGGCTGATGAGGCAGGCAAGCATGAGATGTTGGTAGTGGGCAGCAGTTTAGAGTTTAGTTAAAATATGGTTTTCTTACATAGACATCTTTTTGATCTTCAAGTTTTGAGACTTGAAATCGTCATCTAAGACACCGAAGACATAGCGTATTTTCTAAGGGGCATTAGCTGTCACCAAAAGAGATATCTGTGATCCCAAAAGAAATACGTGATGACAGAAAGATTGGGAGACAGGTACCTTACCTAGCAGAGTAGAAGCAAGCTGATCTGCTCTCAGAATTTCAAAAAACTTGCAACCCAGGGGTCGAACATAGGGCTGAAACTAAAATTGTTGATTTCATCTTCAGCTCTTGTAACAAGTGACTGCCCCACCTCTACACAGGACACTAGGGACTTCCTCTATGAAGAGATTACATCAGAGAGTTCTGGTTGAAATAGAGGCATTGAAGGTAGAGAGATTGAAAGAAAGTCTTCATTTTGAAAAGTGAAATACAGACACATGCACACACACATATACACACACACACACATACACACACACACATTTCTACCCAACTCTTAGACCACTGACAGGCAAGATTGTACACAACAACAAGAAACTGGAGGATCCTTTTGAGAGACAGAATTACCTTAGAGGAAAAAAATGACATACTGGTATTTGACAATTTATCATCGGGGGTGAAGGGTGGGGAATCACCCTATACGAAGGTGCATTAGTTTGGAGAAAATAAATGCATACAAAATGCCAATGTATGGGCCAGCAGGTGGTGAGGTGGTTCAGGTGCTAGACCCCCACGTGGCTGGCTGTGGCTTGAGTCCCACACCTGGTAGCTTGCTTTCTCACTTTCCCTCTCTCTCTCCCTCTCTTTTTCTCTCTCTGGTGAGCCCTATAGCAAATTAAAGAATAATGATAATAAATAAGTTAAATCATTCCAAAAGAAAAGCCAGTGTAATCATAATATACTACTTGGATAACAAGGACTAATACTTAAGTAGTTGATAGAAGGTAAATACTGATATTAATTGAACTCCAGACGGAAGTACTAGTAATTATATTGACAGGCAGGAGATGAATGGAAACAGACAATAGAGTTTAATCTTACATACAATAGTAAGTCAGTGGACATTTTTTAGTTAATGGAACAAGATAGTGGTGTGAAAATACTCAGAATTATGGCGGCAAATGCCAGAAGAAATACCTTTATAACACTTGAAAGTATTTGTCACTGCTTAGCGGGATTAGAGGTCAGGGGATATGCTGTTTTTCTATACTGTAACCTTCTAGAACTTGTATTAATCAGGTAGAGAAACAGAACCAACAGGAATAAAAAACAATGCAAACAGATATCTATCTGTATATCTGTCCTTCTGTCCTTTTTTTTTTTTTTTTTAAAGAGAGATTTTTGCTGTAGTGCGTGTGTGTTTGCAGGAGAGAGGGAGACAGAAAGTGAGAAATCATCCCTAAGGTTGGGCAACCACTATCCCTTTCCCTCCGTTCTCCTCTTGGGATCTTGGGCACACCCACATGTGCCCAGTGTTGAGTTTTTAGTTACAGGGTCTGGGACTCAAACCAGAGTCAACTACATGGGAGTCCAGCAATGTGACCACTGCACCAGCTGGCAGTCCCTTTATCTGTCCTTTGGTTGACCTATCTATGTATGCAAGTCTAGATCAATCAATGGATAGATAATGAGAGAAATTTTTATTTTAAGAATTTGTTTCCTATGATTGCAGAAGCTTGATAAATCTAAAATCTTCAGGGGTAGGCAGGTACGCTGGTCACACAGGGAAGATTGTGGTTCAAATCTAAAGGCAAGTCTGCTGGCAGAAATCCTTCTTGCTCAAGGAAGGTCATTCTGTGTTCTGTTAAAGCCTTCACTCAATTGGATGGGTGTGGCCACATTATGGAGGGCAGTCTACTTTATGCAAAGTCCACTAATTTCAATGTTAATCTCATCCCAAAAAAACACCTTCACAGAAAACATCCAGAATAATATTTGGCTGAATATCTGAACACTGTGTCCCAGCCAAGTCGACACAGAAAATTAACCATCACAGATTATTCAGTTTTAACCATGTGTCATTAAATTGACTATATAAATTAAAAGAAATACTATCAAGTCTAGGGTTGATTCTATAACAGCATAGTGGCTCGTGTAGAATAAGCACTCAGTAAATACTTGCTAAATAAATGATAATCTTTCTAAAAAGAGATTTGGTCATTATCATTTTTGCCTTGCTCCTTAGTGAAGTAATTTCTCTTAGAATAAGTTGTTATTCATTTATCTGAGTCCCTACAATGTGTATATCCCTCCCCGATGCATTTTTAAATTTCTGAAGGATTTTTTATTTTTATATAAGAGGATTTTTTACACTGTTATGTTAAAGTACAGAAGTTAAGATAACGTTAAGGTTATACAATGAAAATATGTTCTAGTAATAAGAGCCTGTAACATCTATCATTTCTTTTTTTTTTTTTTTAAACCTCTTTAGATCTGAAATATCTCAGCTCAATCAAGAAAAGAGATATGCATATGACAAACTGGAAAAGTTACAGAGAAGAAACAATGAATTGGAGGAGCAATGTGTCCAGCATGGGAAAGTGCATGAGTCAATGAAGCAAAGGTAACGAAGTTTCAATAGTCATCTGACGTGCCATCTATTGAATGCTTCTGGCTTACAAACAGAAGGGGAATTGTAGATTGCATTGAATTTATAGTCATTACGCTGCTATAGAACATGCTGTGCTCAAAATCTAATCGTTTTATATATGTATTCTTCCTTGATTCATGATATTCTTACAGTATGCAGCGAGAACACATCCCCTTTTTGCTTTTCTCAAAAGACATAGTCTTAGATTTAATATAGAACAGTAAAGGAAAACCATCATCTGTAAGGTATAAATTAGTAATATAGTGACAGGAAAGAATTCCACAACTTTTCTTTTACAAATTAGGTTTTGCATGGTTTTTATAAGGTGAAATTTGTTGTAGACCTGAAGAAGTTAAATACCTATTACAGGGGCTGGCAAGTAGCGTGGTGATTAAGGGTGTTGGACTCCCACATGGGTCATCACAGTTTGAGTCCTGGACCTGGTGGCTTGCTTTCTCACTTTCTCTCTCTCTCACCCTGCCCCTCTCTGGTCAAATTTTAAAAGAATAAATGAATATATAGATAAAGTTAAATAAAAATAATTATTTTTACAAAGATTTTTTTAAAAGATACCTATTACAGGTCTCACTGATTGTCTTGCTAGAGTCAGGATTTGATGCCAAACCCTTTGCTTTTGTATGGGCAATGTTACTTTGAACAAGTCACTTGGCATATCTGAGCAGCTCTTCTTGCAGTTACACATTAGTAGTAGTAATAACCCACTTTGCATTTCAATATAAAGATCAAACATATCTGAAGTACCTGGTTTACAATAGCCACCTATTAAATGCCATCAACAATTACTACTCTCTTTTTCTAGTTGAAGAAACTCAGCTCACAGAGGCTAATGGATTTGCCCAAAGTGACAGATGGAATAAATGGTATAAGTCAAACTTGAATCTTCATCTTTGACTCCTTTTTTTTTTTTTTTGCAGTATTCAGGGGTGTGTTTTGTTTTTGTTGGGATAGTTTGGTAATGAATACATACCCTTATTAATTTTTATAAATATACCATTTCTAATATCTGCATAATAATGGACTCCCTGGGGGCAAAAAATTTAAAAAATAAATCTCAGTATTTTACAGCAGGCTATGTACTGATTTCTGTAGATTTGGACTTCTGCACAGCAATCATATACATGACAGTCCACCTTCCAATGGAGGTTTTCTCGGCCTCTGGCTCCTCACC